TTTAGGAACAAAATAGGAATATCTAGCAATAGTATGGACATAATGCTTCATGTAGGCAGTAAATTGTTAATGGTGCAGGAGAGAAGTTTTTGGTAAATATTTCTGTTCTGCATTTTACAAAAAGCAGGATGGTATACATTTATGAAAATATATAAATATTTCAGTAGTGTGAAAAAATACTTTCCAGTCTAGTCCAGCCCCTGTGTTCAAGACAGGATCTTCCCTGACTAAATCATCCCAGCCAAGTCTCTGTCCAACATTCGAGAATTTCCAGGGATGGAGATTTCACAGCTCTCAGTACCTGTTTTGATGTTTGACCACTCTAATAGTCAGAAAGTTCCTCCTTTTTTCCAACCTAAATTTCCTTCACTGCATGCAGTTCAGGGCTGTTGTTCCTAGTCCTGACCCCTACAGCCGCAGATAATAGTTTCTCCATCTTCTCTTTAATCATCCTTCAGGTAGGTGAAGGCTGTTATCAAATCCCCCTCAATCTTCTCTTCTCCAGACTAAATGTCCCCAGTTCTTGCAGTCTCATAAGTCTTGTTTCCCAGGCCACAAATCATTTTTGCCACTTCTGGACTTTGTCCAATCTGTCTGTATCTTTTTTGGAGCATGGGACCTAAAGCTGGACCCAGTACACCAGGTAAGCCCTTGCCAGTCCTGAATGGAAGAATCCCTTCCTTTGACATGCAAGTGACAGTGCTGCTAATACAACACGGAATGATGGGTTAGATAACATCTCTTAGAATAAGCATTTAAAAAGGTCAAAATAACTTGCACCCAGGGGGCACATCTTCATGTGTGAGTTCGCTGCAGCAAAAATAGCACATATTTGTGCCACTGCTTTTAGTGGCTATGCATGCCCCAGCTCATGGGGTTTGGTGTGGGGCAAAATGCCCCGCTTCAGGGAAATGGCTGTTTCCCCACTCCTCCCAGCTCCTGGTGTGCTGGAGAGGAGCCAGGGGACACCTAAAGCAGTTGAGACATTGCCTGGTAGCCAGAGCATCTCCCTGGAGGACCCAGCTTCCAGTTGTGCCACTTTTTTTTGCAGTGTTTTTTTTTTGTTTGTTTGTTTTAATACTGAGAATTCCCAGTATCAAATTTGCAGCGTGGCAAAGAGTTGCACATGCACTCAAACCTGTTTGAGGCACCACAAACCACACGTGTGCTCATCTGGACACCCCCTGAGGTACTAAAAGAGTTGGCCAAGGCCATCTCTGGCCTACAGATGTCCCTAAGCTTGGAATAGTGGGGAAATGACACGTGAGAAGAAGACTTAAAGTAGTATTTATTTAAAATGGGCAAGTGGGATAACCCAGGTCATTATATGGCATCATAATCTGACACCAGTGATGAATAAAATGATAAATGCAGGATAAAATTAAACAACTAGTCTTTAATCTTTGTTAACTAATGTCACTCAGCATGGCTTTAGGGAAAATAGGTCTTATCAGATTCAACTTCATTGTTTAATATTACATGTTTGTTTGACAAAAATAATTAGTTCTTATATACTTAGTACTGCATAGTAATCTCATGTAAAAATAGCAGCATCTGTTATCAAAACGCAAATTACGTGTATTCAAAAATCCAAATAACTGTTTGAGAATCATAATAGAGACACTCCCACTCTAACTGGGGTTCTGTAAGGCTTGGTAATAGGCCACAGCATTTAACATTTTCATAATTGTTGTAGATGTAAATAACCACTGCTTAAAAACAAAAATTAAAAACGGAGATTGGCAGAATGATATTAAGGGGGACATTGTACTCATACAGAGTAATCTAGAGTGTTTGAACATAATGCTCTTCAGTACAGCTGAATGCATAGTTATATCCAGGAATAAGGAATGCTACAGTTAAAAATGGGAGTGTAACCTACACAGCAGTGACTGAAAAGGTTTTCTGGTATAACGAGTTCCCTTTGTGATGCTGTAGGATTTAGGGGTTAAGACAAATGTTTGCTGTATAAATGGGAGCAGAGAGATAAAGTCCTTTAGAGAGGTAAGGTTGTTTTTTTCCCCTCAAAATCCCCTCTATGCTGTATCCTTTTTTTTTTTTTTTTTTTTTGAGCCAGGATATGCAGAACTGAAAGTACTATTCCAGGTATGGAATATTACTAATTGCTATAAAATGACGGTACAACACTTTTCCAATCCCCCCCTCCTTTTTGTAATAAAATCTAGTAACACTTTTTTTTAGTAACACAGATACTGAGATAAGGTTTTGATTGAGCTGTCCAAAAGGAGGTTGTGTCTCTTTCCTTTTTGCAATAATGTGTATTAGAAGTTCACATCTTTCCACTGTTCATTACTTTATATTTGTTAGCAGTAATTTTGTGTGCAGTATTGCAGTCTACTCACCTGGCTTCTTTAGTGTTGAATTCAATTATCACCATTGGAAGCAGTGTTATTTCCTGTGCACTTGCAAACTTTCAGCCATCTGTAACTTTCAGCTATCTGTAATCAGTCACATAAAGCCACATCATGGTATATTTTTACTTTTTTGAAGTAGTCTTGTTATCTTTGTAGAGAAAATAAATAGTATAGAAATAATGCAAACTACACACAGCACGTATGTTACATACAGTTGGTTAAAAGTATGCAGTTTCTCTGGGAATTTTTACAATAACTATTTTTTGTAACTTAATCCATCATACACAGTGCAGTTCTCTATGCCAGCAATCCTCTTTGTCTAGGTAGACATATTTTCATTAAGCAGTATTCTTGTAAGCTTGTGTTTGGAGTACTTAATTTCTAGTACTAAAGTCATCCATTTTTTAGTTAATTTATGAACAATTGTCTTAAATAACAGTGTAGATCACAGTTGTGGAGCTTTGCAGTCATGTATAATTCAGATTATAAAGATTGTAAATAATCTCTCATATTTTACGTGTTAAATTTTCACTTTGTGACCTGGGTAATATTGGTAAACTGAAGTTTGATTTCCCTCCATTTTTTCTACCCTCTTGCCTATTAAAATAAAATCCCTACTTGCTAACATTTATATTGGAAATAAGTGAACTGAATAAAACACAGATGGCATGGTTTTTATATGCTTTAATTTTCTTTAGTTCTCTCATTTACAAAGAAGAAGTGTGATCCTTGCTTACTGTTTCTTGAACACACTGGGTTTTTTAAGTGTGCAAGGAAAACAAAATTGCTTTCTGGGAGCAATGCATGTGATTGACTATAAATTTGTCAATTAATGCAACCGAGATTGGAAATAGAATCATAGAATCAATGAGTGGGAAGGGACCTAGACAGATCATGTAGTCTGACCCCCTGCCATGGGCAGGAAGGAGCACTGGGGGTGGTAGGGGTCATAAGACCCCAGCCAGGTAGCTAGTTGCTGGTTAGCAGGAGGTACATGACATACAGTGGTGCCACTTGGCAGATCTTTTTGCTTTCCAATTTCTAATTCTTTGCTACAATGTGGCATGTGTTTTCAGTATTGTAATGGTTTTCTGGCATTTTTCAGAAAGAAATGCAAGGCTGTTTTAAGCCCAAGCCATAATTATTCTTTGGATAATAACACGTGTAGTAGTAACAACAAGAAACACAGAAATAGGATTTTTTGGTTTTCTTCTGTTATGTGTGAATGGTCAACTGAAACTTCAGTTCAGTCTTTTTGTGATTTGCTCAAGTATTTATTGATTTTTTGAAAATTCTGAGTCAATGTTTTCTTGTTTTTGTGCAGTCTCACACAATTCTACTTGTTCAGCCTACCAAGAGGCCAGAAGGCAGAACATATGCTGATTATGAATCGGTGAATGAGTGCATGGAAGGTAGGTGTCATTACTTCTGCGATAAAGTTGATCTCCTTTCTTGTTAAGGAAAGTTGTTTCCATGTGTTTTCTAAACTCACTAACTGAAAGAATGAGCAAAAATGCATTTTTAATGCAAAAAACATATAGAAATAGCATTACAAAAATGGAAAGTTCATTACAAGGATCACATTCAGTTCAAGCAACGTTTATTTCAGAATGGCTCCAAATTACATTTGCTGCTTCTGTTTAGTCAGGGTCCTATTTTGATTTCATTATATTCCCAAGTCGTGCAATGAGAGGAGTGCCGTGCTAGGGTAGAACAACATTTCAGTGCAGGATCAGGGCCTAATTTTGTAAAGAACTACTTTTTTCTGTTAGCCCTGCAAAGTAAATACTGCTGAAAACCATAATGTAGATATTTTTTCCCTTTATATCGGGAACTAAATAAGGCTCAGCTGCAGCTCCCTTGTTTATGTAACGAATGATCCAGAAAGAACCTAGTTCAACTTACACACTCATACCGCAAAAGTTTGCAGCTGTGATAAGGGGAAGGAAATATTATTTCTTATAAATGGATATGAATTGATGTGAATGTATTGCTGGCCTTTGAGAAGTGCTGAACATCCTGATCACCAGGGATCCACGTTTGCTGTAGAAAAACACGGATTTTATCCTTTAAAAGAGTAAAACACAGGAAACTGTGGGTTTCCACTTGCAGACTGCAGAGTTCTAGCTGGCTGGTGGGGAGGGCTGGACAGGAGGGAGGCAGTCACAGGGAGTGCCATGCACGTGCACGCACATGCATGTGGCAGCCAGGCAGCATAGTGGGGAGCAGCTCCCACAGCTCCCCACTGGTAAATCTATGGGGGGATGGATTATAGGAAAGGGGCACATGACTACCCCCCCCCTCCCCCCCCCAAGATTTGTGCACCCACAGTGGACACAGGGCTGCAGCCTGGTTGGAACAGTACAGGCAGGAGCCAATTCCGCAGCCCAGCAGGCAGGACCCAGCATGGGGAGGGTAGAGCAGGATGGCAAGACTTGCTGCTGCTGCCACTGCCAGGATCAACGTGCCAGCTGCACCATCAGCAGTGCAAGGAGTAACTGGGGGGTTGGCGGGGGGGGTGCACGCACTCTGCTGCCCTCACCTCCTCCTGCTAACAGCTGCTTGTGTGCCTGGCTACGGCTCTACATTACTGTCATGGCCCAGCTGCTGTTCCACTCAGGCTGTGGCTGTACCTGAGGGAGTGGGGAGAAGGGCAGCATGGGGGGCCTGAGGGGAGCAGCGGTGGCTGGGCCATGGCAGTGTGAGCAGCTGGCAGTGAAAGGAATGAAGGCAGTATGTCTGTCCTATTCACCTCCCCTCCCAGTCCATTGCTCCTGGCAGTGATTGGGAGTGCAGTGGGGTGGCGAGACTTGTTGCCATGCCAGGTCCTACCTGTACCAGTCTGCCTGGGCTGCAGCTCGGTGCCCACTGGGCACAAAAGTCTGGGGGGAGGAAGAAGGGAGGGTCACATGTCCCTCTGTGGGCCCCTTCCTCCCCTGATGCGTCATCGCCTATGGTCAGGCACCTCCCCTGCTCCACATACTTCGGGACAGGGGCCTGGGAGTCAGGGTCTGTGGTTTGGGAGTGAAGGTCACTGGCAGGTACAGGACTATGGCTTGGGAGTGAGGGGCACTGGCATAGCAGGGCTGCTCAGATCCACAAATCAGTAAGGGGGACAGCTGCAGGTAGACCCATGTCCTGGGGAGCAAAGAGGTCAGGAGAAGCCCTGATTTTTGTATGATAACAAAACCAAAATCAAATGCTGAAATATATAGGTATTTAGAATTTATTTTATTATAATGATTGAGGCACTGGTAGGCTTCCAAATTGCTTTAAATTTGTAAATATATTGATAAAACATTGTGTTCAACTGGGGGGGGGGGGGTCAAATTGCCCATGTCCCCCACTTCCCCCCCCTCTGTCTGGCCTCCTTTCCCCCACCCCCTGGGTCCAGCCCTGCTCCACCTCTCTCCCTGCTGCTCCAGCTCTGGCCCCAGTCTGCCCCTGCACACGGGGGCAACAGTGAGGAGCACAACCCCATACTGCTGCCTGCACGTGTAAGGGAAGTGTCTCCAGGGCAGCGCAAAGCACCACAGGGGCAAGCAGCTTTTCCCACTGTGCCCTGCTGCGCCGTGTACACTGTGCTGCAGAGAGGCCCCAAGGGAGGGCAGCAAGGCAGGGAACATGAGTTTGCAGCATGAACCCACCCTGCCTCTGCCTCTTTCCACACAGATCTGGTGAGTGCAGGTTTCCCCTGCCCCCTGGGAGTGTGCACTGCCCCCGGGAGCCGGCCCTGCCCAAGCCTGCAGCAGAGGGGAGCCAGCTTTGTCCTCCTCCTGCAGCAGCTGCCTTCTGACAGGCAGGAGGCTGCAGACCTGGGTCCCTGGCTCCATAGCACTGGCAGCTGGGGGCCCCCTCTGGCAGGGTAGGGGGTGAGGGGCAAGGGTCACAAGCAGGGCCAGGGGGCTGTGGGGTGTGTGAGGGGCACTAGTAGAGCTGGGGAGTTGTTGTAGGGAGTCTAACTTTAATTAAGGATTTGGGAGGTTTTATCAGAGAACTTGTGATTTTTTTTTTTTAAATCGGGGAAAACCAGGATCCCTGGCTATTATTTACAATCTCCTAAGCTGTAGCCAACTAAGTTAACTTTTCAGCGAGTGTCGCATCATATACATTCATAATGTTCATAAGTCTTTCCTGATACGGCAATTCTTTACCCCAAAAGAGAAACAGTAAAGCTCTTTTTTCCAAGTTTTCTTTGTTGCTTAAAGGCACTCTAAAATTACTTTGAAATTAATAGTTCATTGTTTTACAAGGTGGGATCACCACATTTTCAGCTCTTTTTTTGTATCTGATCTCTTTACATTTGGCAAAGAGTGACTTCTCTGCTCAGAAATCAATAGCTCCATGTGACAGCATATACTGCCTGATACTTTAACATGTGTACAACTCTGCCTGGGCTTTGTCAACTAATTGCTGCTTTAGAGCCAAGTTTATTTTTTTTGGTTTTTGGCTTTTTTTAAAAACTAGTTAGTGATTAGAATTTACAGATCTACTTTATAGTTTTACAGAATTAGGCTTTTCAGTCTAGATCATAAGTTAGTTCTCAACCAGTGCTTCCTTGAGGTATGATGCCTAAATAATATGTAAAAATGAGATGACTCATTTATTATACCTGTTTATTGTACGCATAGATAGAACAAGCGCTAATACTGAAGCACGCTGCCTCCGAATAAACAGTGACATCTCATTCTATTGCAGCTGCACATTTTTGTTCCAAGTCTGCCCCTCTACTTCATTACTGCTTGTAACTTCAATACATGAAAGATTTTTGTGGCAAGCTAAAGATCTATTAATATCTTTATCTGTGATGCTGAGGATTTTCACATCTCTTTAGGGGTCTGTAAAATGTATGAAGAGCATCTGAAGAGAATGAATCCCAACAGCCCATCTATTACATATGACATCAGCCAATTGTTTGACTTCATTGATGATCTGGCAGACCTCAGCTGTCTTGTGTAAGTACAGTCCTTTTTATATGGAAGGTAGTTCTTCAAACACCTATTTTGCTTTGGCAGTAGTGATATTGTTTTTCTCCCAGTATTGGAAAAGCAGGAGACTGAAAAGTAACAAGAAATTAATTGCAAGTTTGTTTACAAAATGTACGTTTCCAATATTTTTCTTCCTATTGCTTTTGATTGCCTCTTCTGTTCTTAGTGCCGTCTGATGTTGGTCAAAAATGTGTAAAGCTTCCATGTAAAGTCGCTGATGTCATTCTGTTGAGCCTTTCAGTGACTGCTAGCAGGGCAGCCTAAAACTAAGTTTCTAGGATGGATTACATTGGAACAAAGCATTTGTCTGAAAAAAGGAAACACATGCAACTTAGTGTCAACATCCCTTAAGATTTTTAAACACAAAGGGTTTAACAGTTCAAGTCCTTACACTCAAATGGTTAAATATTATTTGCAGATTCACTTAAAACTAGTTAGGATCAATCCACGAGCTACTTAAATGAAAAATTGCAAGAAAGCCGTGTCTGTGCTGGAGTTCTGAAGTATTTAAAAAGCTTATTCAGCATAATTTGATTTTCAGGAATCCACAGCACTGGTATATTTTACTGAACTGAGGAATATTATTGGCAACACAGCAGGAACCTACAGGTTGCACCTGATCTTTTTTTTTTTAAGTTGAGCTTGTTACAGCTGTTTCTTTGATCAAGATGAAGCATTACAGAATAGGCTAGGGTTTAAGATACTGAAGTTTTTCCTTGGAAGTTGTCCTAAATTGGTTGGGTGTTTTTGAAAATCTCACCTGTCATCTCTAGTATTTTCATGCGTTAAGGATGAGGGCAGCCAAAAATGATACTGTATACTATGTAAGGGCTTCCTGGTCCTGAATACGGGGTTAAAAGAAACTAGTTTCCCTTACTCATCTATATGAGAACATTGTTATTCCTATCACTTAACAAGTCCTAATGGTCTTGACATAAATATACAGGTAATGGTTTTGTCTTGTCAAATATACAGCTAAATGAAACTTGTAACTTTTTTTTGTTGCATCAGCAGAGATGGATGTCAGCACATTTTTTTTTAAATAAACACTAGAAGTTATGTGCAACAACTGTCAAAATAGTGGACTCCTGCTATGCTATCCACAGGAAACTACAGGGTGTAATGTGTGTTGAAATCTGCAGCTTTTCTATACAAACTGGTCTAGCAACACAAAAGCTGTTATAAAAAGTGACTGACTTTTTCATACAGTGAGGACTGACTAGGGCTGCCTACTAATATCAGAAGAGAGATCAAACAGGAAACCAACAGCATCTACCTACTTTGGTTTCCTTATCTCTTTAGATTGAGTAATACATGGAATTCTAAAGTACTCATGAAGGTATAACTTGGTATTATAGTTTCTATAAATTTATCATGTCCTCAGGTGTGCTGTCTGTCTGTCTCTCCCTCCCCCCTACTTAACCCCAGACATAAATCAGCATTGGGCTGAAGCAAAGTTAACAAGCCATGCCATGTTTTATTTTCCCCTCTGACAGATTGTGGATAATATCACTTTTTAAGTGGAAGTCACTGTTCTCCTTTACAGTGTAGTGTTGTTTAATCAGGAGCTTAGACCCCATACAGCCAAAGTGTATTTCTGAGCTAAGTTCTGTTATAGCTTGTAGTTTCCCCACCAGATGGCACACAAAGTGTGTAATGTGCTGTCCATGTTTTATAGCTGTGCAGCTCCCTAGGCTGCCTTATATCTGGTTTTGCATCGTAGCTTAATTACTAACTCCCAGAGATTAATTCTTTGTACTCTGAGAATTGATAAAAGCCCAGCCCTGTCTTGAACGTATCTTCTTTATTTCAATTACATAGATAATACTGAAACACTTGCTAGGTTTTAAATAAGCTTCTTTTTTTTAAGCAGATTGTCTTCTGCTTGTTCTGAAAAACCCCTAAAATGCTTTGGATTTTGAGTTAGCTTACTTTTTTAAGCTCAATTAGTGTTATTTAAGATTTAGCGCTAAGAATCACTGGCTTTTGTCACATCGGTTGGAATGAACACACAGAGATATTCTCTTCATTCTTTTGGGGTGTCTATAGCAGGCACTATGTGTTTCAACTTTAAGGATTAAAGCTTTTTATAAAGGGGACAAATTTTAGGACCATCTGTTCACAGTTGGCTAACTTGGCATATCATCTTACTGACTTGCTTTTGCTAGAAATAAAAATGGCAAGAGAACTAGAGGCAGTGTCTAAATATTTGGTTGTGTTTCTGTCAAGAGCCTTCTGGCAAGTGACAATTTCTTGGTTACTTTATACAGTAAGTGAGCCTAGAGAAATATTTTTAAGATCAGATTAATAAAGAGAGCATGAATTTGGGTAGGGGAGGGAGACATGGGAGGGGGGTCTCAGTTTGTAGTCCATTTTATTTTTTGTTGAGTGCTTATTTTTGGAACTTGACTTCAGACTTATTTGCTGTCTATCCTTACTGAAGCTGCTTCCATATTTTGGCTCTGATTCCTTGTTAAGGAAAGTCAAAGAAAACAAAGACCATACATTTCAGAAGTGGATGGAAGAACCCTTTGTAAAAAATACTTGTTTTTTTAAAGCACAGAATAGAATATATCTGTAAACTTAAATTAAAAATACTCGCTTAACATATTTTAAAAATTAGTGCTTGGCCCACAAAGACTTAACTTCAAACAAGAGTAAGACATCATGATTTTTTTAAGTTAAAAAGAACCTGATTACGATTATTAATTTTTGTGAGCATTCAGACCTTTTCTAAATGCTGTGTTTGTTCACTTTCCATTACTGTGGGTAGGGAGAGAGTAGTTTCATTTTAAATGTAAGAGAGAATGGGACTTAAGCTTTTGGAACACTTGGCTTCTATTCTAGATTCTTGCTAATGCGCTGAGTGCCTTGACCTAGTGTTGCTTTGATTATTAAGGGATATACTCTGCTCCCAGTGCCAGAATACCATAATCTGGCTTTGGTTACCTCAGTAAAAATAATGCCTGATTTTATAGACAGTCTTGCAGACTTGTTAAGGCCAACGATTCTCCTCTGATGAATTATAATATAGAAGGTCAAACTGATATTGGATTCACTTTTTTTCTTCTCCCTAGGTACCGTGCTGACACTCAGACATATCAACCCTACAATAAAGACTGGATAAAGGAGAAGATCTACGTCCTTCTCCGCAGGCAGGCCCAACAAGCCAGCAAATAATGGGGTGCCTTTGTTGCAGGGTTTGGGGTGGGGGGTTTGGACAACAGGTGTGTACAGCGTAGTAATGGGAGTTTTGTATTATAGTCATCCTGTTGCCATCTTGTTAAAACTCTAGCCAAGACTGAATACATCATTAGAGATTCAAGGGTTTTCTTCAGTTTGAGACCTTTTCTCAGTGTAAATGAAGAAAGAAGTGTGACACCTTTAGCAGAGATTTCACTTAGTTACTCTCTGGTTAGCTAATGATTCTACTTTGTTTAAACCTCTAGGGCTGTTGATACCTGCTTCACACATTGACTGTATGTGCCCTTCTCTGGCGTTTCCAACATTATTGGTTACATCCTCGAGAAAGAGTCTTAGTAGAATATGAAATAAATATTCTTTAGTTAAATCTTGTGTTAGTAGTGAATTTCCTGTATCAACACAGCAGCCCTTTACAAAATAAATAATGTAAGTCCCTACTCACAGAACAGATATTGGAAAGAGTACATGGACTGAACTGTAACAGTCCTTCTATTGGATAGCATATTGCTTTATGCTACAAAAACAACTTCTGAAGCACAGCAACACAAAGGGGGAAAATCAAGGTGATTCTCAAGTGTGCTTGAGGCTCCAAGCTACCCAGGTTTTATGCCCACACCTGATGCAAATGTTTAATTTTACACTTCACAGGTGGCATGGCTTTGCATTTAAGGATTCCAAAATTTTCCTTTGGGAGTAGGTAGGCTGGTGAAAGTGCTGATTTTAAAATCAGACTTAAACTTTTTTTTTTTTTAAATAAACCTCTTTGGCCTTTTAATATTGGTTGTCATAGCCTCAAACGGTACATTTGGCACCTAAACTTTAAAGGATATCCGATCCTTTAAGTTGCTGGCTAAGTAAAGTTTGCTGAGGTGCTTAACTAGTGTTGTTGGGTTTTATTTTTTCTTTTTATGGCAGTGGTTCCTTCTGCAGGTATGTATGTACAGAACATTTTCTTTTCAGTTTGTTTAACAAATATAAATTCTGTGATTGCTTTTCTCAAAGTTAAAGCAGGAAACTTGTTTTCCCTTTCTGTATATAAATAAAAACTAGATGTGAGGATTAAAGCTACTTCAAAACAGTAAAGGACTTGGTGACAAGAGACAACCAGTTCAGTTCACTAGCTGCAGCTAATGGTTCCTGTTTACCACCGTTAGTTTTAAAATGTAAAACATGTTTTGACAAGGTTTTTCTTGTGTCCAATGCATTTTGAGGTAGTTTTAATAAATGTGTAATTACTTTAATATTAAAAATTCAATTTCCATCTCAACACAAAAGTTACAAGTAAAAATAATCCTTTCCTTCATAAGATAATTACTTGCCATTTCCTAACCCAATTGAGAGAAAAAAAACATTAAAGACTAAGTATATGCATATTTAGCTTGTTCTCCTGGGTGGGGGGGGAATAATTCTTAGATTGGGATAATATCATCCTTTTAAGTTTTCCTCAAAAAGGTAACTAAATTATGTGCACAGTGGATACGTCTACATGTGTATTAATGCACAGTGGTTACTGCACGTTTAGTTTAGTACCTGTAATAACAGGTACTAAACTAAATGCACAGGTGCATGTTTTAGGTGATGCTAGTACACAGTAGACTAATTCTACTGCTCATTAGCACAGGTTTTACTCTCTATGCTAATACACAATAGAATTAGTCTACTGTGCTTGAAGCATCTTAGTTTCATAGTTTCTAGGGTCAGAAGGGACCTGAGCAGATCATCTAGTCCAACCCCCTGCCATGGCAGGAAACAGTACTGGGGTCAAATGACCCCAGTAAGGTGGTCATCCAACCTCATCTTAAAAACCCCCAGGGTGGGAGCCTGCACCACCTCCCTTGGAAGCTGGTTCCAGACCCTAGCCGCCCTGAC